TTCATTCCACTTGTGCAAGAACTCTAGCACAAGTGAAAATGAGCCAGATCCAACCCACTGACTATGACCTTTCCTCATTGATGTTAGTACTGTGAACCATTCAGGTTTTGACTATGCTAAAGCCACTAGGATACAACAAAATCTGTCCTGTCTTTGCCTGAGCAGAAATCAAACATTCAGTGGAACCAATGGAAATGCACAGAAAAGAGTATCTTTCCATGTAATGTAATGTAAAAGCATCATCCTCTGCTACAATGATTTTCACAGTGGTTCTGGATCCAAAATGACCCACAGTTGCAGCATGGAGACAAGTGATATTTTTAAATCTTTAGCATTTTTCAAGGAGGAAAAGTAGTGAGACGGGGGGGGGGGTTGCAGGAATTGGAAAAAGACATAGCAAAAGCAAGTGAAAAATAATAGGTTAGAGTTAATATGAGTCCTGATCTGAAAAATACTGAAAATTACTGTCCTAATTCTTTCAGCTCTTTAACCACTCTTGTGCAAAACCAGATACATTTGAGTTCAAGATAAAAGATCCACTATAAAGAGTGCCCGAAATAGTTTTAAGAACTCTTAAAATCCACCCATAACACCAAAGCTGATCTGCTTAGGCTAACTACCATATGAATCAGCATGGGCTTAGCCCAGTGTTGTAGCCATCACTCCCTTATAATTACTACTCTCATCATGGGATAAAAGAACTTGTCCCTCCCTGTTCACTGAAGTTAACATGTGGTTGTCATTTGGTCTCAACTACTTCCCATATAAAACTAGAACAAAGGAAGATCTAGCCCTTCTGATTGCTCACAGATCTAGGGAATTAAAATGACACTTTCTTCCAAAAAGTACTGTTTGTGGTTTTGCTAAAAGATACCTATAAGGTCCCAGTCATCTAGGGAAGCATCTGCTGTACGACAAGGAAGGCCTGCAAGGATATCTGTCCATCCTTCCAAAGTAATAACTTTTATACAAATTCATGGGATGATTAATTGCGTTTAAAAGACTATTCTTTTAGATAACAGCATGTACAAGTAAACCACACCCAACTCTTTCTGAGCCGTCCAGATGGTGTCAAAGGTTCTCAATGTTATGACTCCCAACAGTTTTGAGTTCTGGGGGGAAGCACATACTGATTACAAGGGAACGAGGCTGCTAACCCACCAATCTTGTTCATCCTTTTGATTTATTTATTTTATTTATTTATAGTATTTTTATCACGCCCTCCCAGTGAGCAGGCTCAGGGCGGCTTATATTACCAAGTGCATATAAAACAATTAAAACCAATTAAAACAGTCAAACCAATTTACAATTAAAGTGCTCACAGAGTCATTAAGTCAAGATGGCGTAGTACAGTATGGCATCCAAGTGCCCAACTCAGCAGTCTCCCAACATATCAAGCTAATATAGCTCACTTTCAGCTCCAACCACCCCAGCACCACCGGTGTTAATAGTGGACGTTGATGGTAATAGTGACAGCTCCTAGCTGAAAGCCTGGTGGAAGAGCTCTGTGTTGCAGAAGATCCCGCAGGGCCCTGATCTCCTCTGGGAGCTCATTCCACCAGTAAGGAGCCGCCACAGAAAAGGCTCTGGCCCTGGTGGCAGCGAGCCTGGCATCCTTGGGGCCTGAGATGACTAATCGATGTTGTGACCCCAAGCATAGTGCTCTCTGGGGTATGTATGGGGAAAGGCGGTCCCTCAAGTATGTTGGACCCTAGCCATATAGGGCTTTAAAGGTAAGTACCAGCACCTTGAAGTGGATCCGGTACGCTATCGGCAGCCAGTGCAGTGCCTTCAGCACAGGCTGGATGTGCTCCCATCTAGGGAAACCCATCAGCAACCTGGCCGCGGCATTCTGCACTAGCTGCAGCCTCCGGATTTGGGACAAGGGCAGCCCCATGTAGAGAGCATTGCAGTAGCCTAGTCTTGAGATAACCGTTACGTGGATCACTCTAGCCAGGTTGTCGCAATCAAGGTAGGGGGCCAACTGCCGAACCAGCCAAAGATGGTAGAAGGCCGACTTACCAGTGGTTGCAACCTGGGTCTCCATCGTCAAGGAGGGATCCAGGAGCACTCCCAAACTCCTAACCCCCAACGCAGGCACCAATGGTGCCCCATCGAAGACCAGGAGCGGGAGCCCCAACCCCGAACCACCCTGACTCAGGCACAGGACCTCTGTCTTCGCCAGATTCAGCTTCAGCTGACTCAGCCTGAGCCAACCAGCCACGGCGCGCAACACCCGGTCTAGATCTTCTGGTCCGGAGCCTGACCGGCCACCCAACATCAGATAGAGCTGAGTGTCATCAGTGTACCCCAGCCCATACCTCCGGACTATCTGGGCAAGGGAACGCATATAGGTTAAAGAGCATCGGGGACAGCACCACCCCCTGAGGCACTCCACACTCAAGCAGATGCCTCTGGGACTGCTGTTCCCCTAGCACCACCCTTTGTCCCCGACCTCGGAGAAAGGAAGCAAGCCATTGCAAGGCAAGCCCCTGTATCCCCACGCTGGCAAGGTGGCCTGATGTAACAAACACATTCTGATACTGAGAGAAACCACCCACCAAGTACCCTTCCTCCAACATGAATGTACAGAAAACAGTACCTTTCATGTAATGTAAAAACATCTGATGCAGTTATTTTCACAGTAATTCTGTAGCATGAGATTCCCTCCACATCCAAACAGAGAATCTGAACTATACTTTCAAGGGGCTGTGCCTCTACAAATATTCAGCAACAGAGTTCTCTTGGATTTATCATATTAAAAACTAATTAGCAACCTTTAATTCTCGTAATACAAAAGAATATGGGGTTTGAGTTCAGTCTTTGAATATACCCAGCCAACCAAACAGAAACAACTACGGAAACTTTTAATCTTTTACTGAGATAAGAAATTAATTTCTTTAGTGAACTAGACAGAATGAAATACATGCATGAAAAAGTTAACCCTACAATTACTGTGAAAATAAATGCTAAAATGATCAAAGTACCTAGCATTGCTTTTAACAAATAATAGTTTTAAAAAGCAAATCAGTTTTCAGCTGTTTGACTCTCCACTTTTTGGGATAATCAAATAAACCCAAACTACCACCAAACCATCTCACCTTCTGCGACGTCCATCCAGAGGAATCTGATTTGTACATATTTATAGAAAAATATCACTTTGTATCTCTAACCCTTGTCTATCATAATCATGTAATACTATTTTAAAAAACGATTGGTTCATAGTAAGAGATAAGCAATATGAATGCTGATTAGCTAGCACAGTCACTATCTAGATAACTGATTGGTTCTTAACATATGAGCTAATCTGCAGGTACATATGAGGTACATATGGTAAAGCAAGATACAAGGTCAATCTCAACCTTAGCCTACTTTTTTCTGTAACTAGTTCAGCTAACTGTCTAAGATGAAAACACCTGAAGCAGACAAAAGTCATGAAATGGTTAAAAGTGCTTGAACTCTTTTGCAAACTCAGCAAGAAAGCTTCTTGATATCATAGCTACCACTACAGTTCTGGATCCAAAACAGATCACAGTTCCATCAGAAGACAAGCATTCATATAGGAAATCTAATTTTTTTGGTACTTTTATGTATTTTTCATGTGTGTGTGTGTGTGTGTGTGTGTGTGTGTGCGCGCGCGCGCACGCCTGGGAGTCATGGTTACTTCTTGTGCCCGCCCCCCCTACTGGAGGCCTGGAGGATATCCAGAGAGGTGGCTGAATAAAGCCTGCCCCCGCCTCTGGTATTTTAAGGAGATCTCCCATCCAAGTACTTGCCAGAGTCAACCCTGCTTAGCTTTTGAGATCTGACAAGATCGGGCTTGCCTGGGCTATCCAGGTCAGGGCTGATTAACTTAAATGGAAAATCTTTTATCTTGGTCTCTAACGGAAGCACTGCTGAATACAGCCAAGCTTACCTCTGGAGGAAGGCAGACTGCATTACTAGCCTGGCAACTAGCCACTTCCCTCAGAACCATGAGCTTTAGATTTCTGCTTCTTATGCTTTGGAGCAGGCTTGTATGTTGTAACTGAAGCCAATGGCGGAGGGACTCAGCTGGATGAGAAGTCATGAGGCAGACACAAGCTCACCTGTCACAATGTGCCTTCCTGTTGAGGTTCTATAACTTGGGAATTAAACATCAGTAGATCATGCACCTGTCTATATTACATTCTCCTAAGCAAAAACCACAAAGTGAATGGTCATCAGACTTAAGAATTTTTTCTTAAATCCTTTCGGAACAATCCACAAAGAAAGATGTACAAGAAAATGTTCTTCTGTCCAACATACCTCAAATTTGAGAATGCTTCAAGAATTCTTCTACCAGCTCTCCCATCTAAAGGATAACTATATTTGAAAATGTGAGAGGGTCCTCCTTGCATACTAGAGAAGAAATGTATGCAACAAAATCGGCTCATTTTTAAGGTGTGCTTCATATTTGCCCTCAAATTCAATTTTTTTAAGACATTAGGCTGGCATGTTATTGGTAGAAGCAAGTTTAGCCTAATGAGTGCTGAAAGATCAGTAAATATAGTATTTAAGAGGCAGTGCACACCAGTGTTTAAGCTGAGTTAGTGTGAGCTTTTTTTAGCCTCTGGCTCACACATTTTTGTCTTAGCTCAAGAAGGAGGGCTCCAGAGCAAACTGATCTATGCAGTAGCCAAACCGCTCACTCACAACTTTAATGCTAGTAGCTCACAAAGTAGAATTTTTGCTCACAAGACTCCACAGCTTAGAGGGAGCATTGGTGCACACATAAAGATCTCTCATTCCAAAAGGCCAAGATATCTGTGTACTCGTTCTCATTGTTATTATTTCACGTATTCTCTACTCTTCAATGTATATTCATATTCTAGATTTTCTATTCTAGATTCTACACCTACGTTTTTGAATTTGCTGCTCAATCTCATGCATAGTTACTTGCAATTTTTGATAGACCTTACTCCCATAGAATTGCTGCTTTATCTACTAATCTCAATATCTTTCAACCAAAACAAAATTACCTTGAGCAGATCTGACATAATGACTGAAGAGAAACTGCAGGCATATAGCTTAAGGCAGCATTGTATCGCAACAAAAGGAATGTCAGTACTTCAAACCTGTAAAAAAAATCTTATTTAAGTAATCAAAAGGCTTAATACTTGCAAACAAAACACACACACGCACACTATGTCTGAGAAAATCTTCCATCAGCATTTATCATATTATCAACAGATTCAACAGATCTTTAACTGAAAGTATTATAAAGGATAGCTCATCACAAGTGCCTGAAGTGTTTTACATTTTAATTCTTTAGTTTTCAAAACTGCACTGTGCTTGTTACCTGTTTTGTGCTGTCAGCATCTCTCTCTGCAAATGAGATCCACTATAAACAACCTTGGATAAGCCATGTTGAGATAAAGCACCCTCAGTCAGAGCCATTGAGCCAATACTGGAAGGCTAAAAAAGAGATGATATTTGAGTAGTCTACTGAAGACAATGAAAATAAAAAACCCTAATATTTCATTTTCTTTGTCTTTTTTAAAAAAGACAAGTTACAAATCATTCATCTATTTGTATTACTTTAGGTACATTAAAATGACAAATACATTGAAAAGTACATATGTAGACTACAGAGTTATGCAGAAGACAAAAAAGCCAATAAAATATGGTACAAAAAGTGCAATTTCACACATCTAGACCTGTTTCCCCTGAGATATGAACCTTCCCCTGGCTGAACTTTTCCACCTAAAAGTACTTGGGAAGAAGGCCATATTTCTCCCAACAGGGATTAACTTCTAGTCTTGGAGCACCTTTGAGAAAAATGGGAGGAGCAAAGGGGGCAGAACAAGGTTCAGCTCCCCCTTTCTGCTCATTTATACTGTGCTTTAGAAGCAAAGCAGATTCTAAATACAGATCTGCTATTATTATGCTTTCTTTGATCCTGGTATCTCAATCCTAAACATTTACTAGAAAGCATGTTTAAGTTCTGTTACAAGATGCAGACTATTTTTAAGAACTTGAAATTGTTACAGGAATATAAGAACCACCATTCTGTACCAGACAAAAGGCCCATCAAGTCCAGCAGTTTGTTCAAAGTGGCCAACCAGCTACCTCTAGGAAGCCTACAAACAGGATGACTGCAACAACATCTCACCCATGCTCCCCAGCGACTGATGTAAAAAGACATTATTGCCTTTGGTACTTGGAGGGAGTAGATAACTATCATGACTAGCAGCCACTGGTATCCTTCAGACATTTAGTTCTGATGCCATTGTAAATTTAACACCTTAATGCTCAAACTATTTTTGAAATTAAGTATTCTCTACAGCGCTGGCTCTTCGGCTTTGAAACGGAGATGAGCACCGCAACCCTAGAGTCAGATTCGACTGGCTTTCGAGCAAGGGAACCTTTACTTTACTTCTGAAAAATGTTCTTACAAAGGTATACAATTGCACTTTATACTCAACAGAACTCAAACCACATTAAAATGTCTTTAAAAAATTCATCTCAACATAACATGACTTTGCACTCTTATATCTGTGAGACCATCTCTCCCCCTGGGTACAGCTACGACAGCTTCACTCATCTGAGCAAAGTCTTCTGCAGGTGCAAACCTGTAAATGGGCAAAACTGACAACTGCCCATACACATGCCTTCTCTGCTGTGGCCCCCACTTTATGGAATGGTCTGCCTGAGGAGGTCAGGAAGGCGCCCACTCTCCTGGCTTTCTGCAAACTATGCAAAACCGAATTATTTGAGAGAGCTTTTCTACTCAGGCAAGAGAGTTCCACTGTACTAAACGATTCACAAAATTCCTTGGATAAATTATTAGGGATTGTGGTCTATACTACTGTGTTTAGCTTACTGAAACTAGGATCCTACTATGTGACTTTTGAATCATTTAATGTGTCATGTTAATACTTATGCTTCGTTTCAGTTCTGTTTTTAGAGTTCTGATTGGTTCTACAACCCTAATCCTATTGCATAGTTTATCGAATACCCCATCCTGTTGATTGTATTGTCTCACTCTGTGTAATCTGTCTTGAGTTCAAGTGAGAAAGGTGACTATAAATAACATAAACAAGCAAACAAAAATCAGTATTTTCATGTTATCTAACTCAGACACATGAGGGTTATTTTTAGATTCTTTGGAGTCCACTATTTTGCAAAGCAGAGCTGCTCTGGCTGTAGTCAGGGCATTGCTGCATCTGTGACAAAGAGCAAGTAGTGTATGCAGCTGCATCGTCACATGATTTCTAGAACAAAAAGTGTCATTTTATCACTAAGATGATGAAATCTGTGCCAAATTACGCTCATAAGACATGCTACATTAAAATTACATACATCAAGTAAAACAGAAATTAAACTTACTTCATGATATACTGAAGGTTTAGATAAGGATGGAATTGTAAAACTTAACACCCTACTGTGCCCCTGTCTGTCAACTATTTCCTGTAAGACATAAAAGAAACGCAAGTCACTGCATTCTGTGCCTTATGTTGTCTGTACACAATTTCTACTATTTTCAAATGAGCAGATTATGTAAACATTTCTACAGACCTAACAGTGCATTGCACTACAAAGTCATCACATTTATTTTAAAGATAATCATTATAAAAGTCAGTAAAAAAAGATAGTCCCAGAGATATAGTTGGGGGGAAAGGTTTCCTGTAAAGTATTATTTTATAGCACTGAACCTTGCTATGGCTATTCATCACAAGTGTCCACTGGCAAGGACTGAAATGGATCTTACCCAATTTGATTATAAATCAATTTGTGTTCTGTATAGCACTCTGACATGATAGTCTCTTGTACTACTTGGCCTCTGGAATTCTTTCGTGAATGCATGCAGGTTTTTCTCCCCGTTTCCCCTCTATATTTATACCATAACTCATTGAGGTGAACGTGGCAGAAGTCAAAAACTTGCACCTCCTCTCCCCCACTACAATCGATTGTTTCAAGCATTATTCTTATAGACAGCCCGCTTCAGGTATCACAGCCAGAAAAATGGGGAAAAAATGCCTCAAACAAGTGTGGACTGAAATTGGGGAAAGCAGCATGGTTTAGCTACCCTCAGCTGCATGCTCCATTTTCTGAAAAAAGATACATTCTACACAAGAATGGGCAGACATATGAATCCACACTTTGACACCTCTGCCATGTCTAGATTGGCCCCAGAAACAAAAGTGGTTTATACAGGAAGTAACAGATCTTCAATGTCTTCTAAACTGAGATCCGCCACTCCACCACAACCCCCCTCCCCAGAATCTTTCCATCCAGCATCATACATTAGATACCAAGTGATATTGGGGAAAGGAGAGGAAACCCATTTGAGAGAGCAGAAGCCTAAATCCAACCCTGTTTTCCCTTGAAAACTAGACTGTACTCTTCTGGTTTCCAGCTTGGGCTGGGCAGCAGTGTTGCTGCATGCTCTGTGAAGAATTCCTTCATTTAATTGTTTTTATATTCTGATTTTCAGGGTCACTGACTTAGAATCTATTTTATTGCAAAGTAGCTGCCTTTGGCAGCCTCAATTTTTTTTTATTTTTCTTCTGTCGGAGATAGTCTTTGCCAGCCCCCTGGACCGGGAGGGAGCTCCCCCACTTTTGCAGGCTCCTCCCCACCGCCGGCCAGCAGGGGGAAACCCTGCTCACAAATGCCCCAGAACATGACGTGATGACATCACCCAGAAGTGACAACATTATGTCGCCGACACTGCGTAGCGACACTAATTTTTGGGCGACACTCTATGGTAAATTTGGGCTCAAATCATAGACATTTCAACTGTGAGTCAGAATAATATCTGTTAATGTGGATGATTTGTACTTTACCCCCAGACAGAGAAATTAGTGTCTCAGATGTGAATACAAACCAAATTGTAAATTCCTAGGAGAAGTGCTTCGATGCAGCCACTGCTTTGTAGATCTTTACTTGCAGAAACAGCGAGATAGCACCATATCAATTCTGGAAGAAACTGCAGTGTGAATTGTAGAAGCAGTTCCTCAGCACTACGATAGAACTCAAACAGCTGATGACAGACTGGCTCCAGCAACTGAAACAAAAGTAAATATCAAATAGTTGTGTCAACAATGTCACATCTCAAAATATGCTTTCCTACTATTGAAGAGGTAGCATTTTTCAGTTTTCAGATGAAAAAACAGGTTGCTTACCCGTAATTGATGATCTTCGAATGGTCAGCTGTACAGTATCACACATGGGTTGGGCGCCTGCGCGCGACCTCGACCGGAGAAACTTCTAGAGCTTTGCCTCAGAAAGCTTTTGGCGGGCTCTTTTCCCACCCTGGGGAGCAGGCACATACTGCGCATGCCTGGAGCGGGGGAGAAAGAAAAAACACCCAAAGGTCCTACCTGGGGACGCAGCAGGGTCAAGCGAAGAGAGATCGCAGCTCTGACTGGCCGAATGCAGCATGCCGTCAAGTTCGGATGTCGAGTGCATAGTGGGTCATGAAGGTCGATGCCGAGGACCACATAGCAGCTGCACAGATGTCTTCTAACGGGACACCAGCCAGGAAAGCGATGGACGTCGTAATTACAAGAGTTGAACCAGTTGGAAGAGGGAGCTGGCAGCTGCAGAAAACACAAAGAATACTGACACAGCATCATCAGCGAGAAAAAACACCCAAAGGTCCTACCTGGGAACGCAGCAGGATCAAGCGAAGAGAGATCGCAGCTCCGACTGGCCGAATGCAGCATGCCGTCAAGTTCGGATGTCGAGTGCGTAGTGGGTCATGAAGGTCGATGCCGAGGACCACATAGCAGCTGCACAGATGTCTTCTAACGGGACACCAGCCAGGAAAGTGATGGACGTCGATACTGCTCATGTGGAATGGGCAGTGACACAGGTAGGAACGGGTTGACGTGCAAGCTCATGGCAAAGGACTATGATGGAAGTCACCCATTTAGACAAGCGTTGAGAGAAAATCGGCTCCCCCACATGAGGGGGGCCATAGGCAAGGAACAGCCGAGGAGATTTACGTATAGGCTGAGTCCTATGTAAATAAAAAGAGAGCGCTCTGCGCACATCGAGGCAAAGAGTGTGGGCGGTGGTGTCGGTGGCCGCAAAGTGGACTTGTGGGACACAACAGCCACAGCAGGAGTCAATGTTGTTAAACCAGTGATGACGACCGGGTCAACAGCCGAAGTCGAAGCCGATGTCGAGGGCTTGACTTTCGATTTCGACGGAGCCTTATCCTCAGGCCATTTAGGCTTTAGCTTTGGTGCTTTGGGAGCCCCATCCAATCTTTGAGGGACAGAAGAATGAGAAGCGGCCGAAGACATCGCAGGGCACAAAGCTGCCTCTAAAAGCACAGCTCTAAGCCGAGCCTCCCTATTACGTCTAGCTTGCCTAGTAAAACTAGTGCAATGGACGCAGCTATCGACCCTATGGGATTCCCCAAGACAAAGAAGGCAAAAATCGTGACCATCGTTCGAAGGTATCTTAGCTGGGCAACGACGACACACTTTAAAAATCTTGTTTTGCCCATACAAATCTCCTCCCCACCCACAAATGTGGGGGGGGGGGGGAGAGAAAAAGAAAGAAAGTGAAGAAAAAAGGACTGTTTTGTTGTTGTTTTTTGAAATAGAGGGAAAGAAGAGCGAAGCAAATAAACAAAGACCGAAGAAGGCAGACGAACAAATATACTCAGCTGAGGCAAAATACGGAGAGCAACAGGAACGAGGAGTGAACATGCAGGCGGTCGAAGAAGAACTGAGTGGGAGGCGGCTCTCTCCCCTGCTCCAGGCATGCGCAGTACGTGCCTGCTCCCCAGGGTGGGAGAGAGCCCGCCAAAAGCTTTCTGAGGAAAAGCTCTAGAAGTTTCTCTGGTCGAGGTCGTGCACAGGCACCCAACCCATGTGTGGGACTGCAAAGACACCACGACGAAGATCTAAATGTTTGTTAACAGTCTCTTGCACTTAGTAACCTCATGTTCTCCTAGATATTGCTAAGTATCACTCTTCCCGAATAATGAGGACAGACAAGTTTTTGAATTACTGCTTAACATGTAACAGTTGCAAAAGAAGAGTCATGCGAAGAACATATTAACTTAACCAGTGGAACTGAGGAGGAGGGGCATAATAATGGTTATGCTAATAATATCAAGGGGAGTCATGTAAGACAGATGACTAGGGCAAGGAGAAAAGAGGGACATGAAGGAGGAATAATAATAAAATTTCACCAGCAAAGTTAGGCAAATTCAGCAATTACTAACCAGATAAAATAAATTTAACAGTTTTATCACAAATTGTAGTTAGTGATTATTCAGTCAACTGATTTTTTTGGTGCCTCCAGTCAACTACTTTCCGTTGCCACAACTTTTACCATCCCATCAGAGGGCCAAAATCTACAGGTTCAGCTGGAGGAGATTACAGCTCTGCCTTATGAGAACTGTGAGACAAATATCCTATTTTTATTGAAACCCCAATGAAAGAAGTAGAGAAAGATAAGACTGCAACAGAGGGGAAAAAACTAGTGAACCTTCTAGAACTCAGAAGAACAAGAAACTTGCCTACTCACTTCAAAGCAGGCTGGTGAGCAGGGAAAATTATTACCCTTTTAAATAAAAGGGCTTCAGTCTAATTTGTTTGCTTTGCCCCATCAACTTCCAAGTCAAGGCTGTCAGCTGAGAGGAAGAATAATTTAATATTAAATTTCCAGTATCCAGGTCTACAAAGAAAAGTTGGAATATGCATCACCCTCACCATGGAAGGGCACTGAAGCAGGGTACTATGAAGGGAAAACATGCTTTTGTGTTCTGCATACTTCCTGACATACTGTCCAATGCTTCACTCCTTTTTGATTGTGCTGCTTTATAAAACCTGTACAATTTATTTTCAAAACATACAAAAGTTCAGTGTAGTTCTGTACATATTTACCTACCTCACTCTGTGGATCCTGAATAACTTTGTACAAAGATGAAACCAGAGAACTCTTGTTTTTCAGATTTTTAGCATAGTTTGGTATGGATGCTTCTGGTGCTGTCTAACAAAAACATTTTACAGACACATTAATGCAATATATAAATGTGCTAAACTAACAGCAAGAGTTCCCATTCTACAGAAAATGCATTAATCCCAGAAGTACTGAATTCGGTTGACATAAAAAAATAAACCTATAGAAGTAGCTCAGTTTTAAGAGCACATTTAGTACTCTGGGGGTGCGTCCAGATGGCGTGCTGGGAGCGGTTTAAATGGCTCCAGTCCCGATGCCACCCGGAGAATCGCGATCACACTCACCTTCCTTGTTCTGGATCGCTGCGCAGCCACATCGCTTCCCGCCGTTCACACGCAGGAGCGTGCCTCGGTGGGGTTTTCTTTCAGATTGAGCATGCGCACAGGAAGCCATCCGTTGAACTAAAATTTTAGTGCGTGCGCAGAACAGCGATTTTCACACTTCCATTTAGACTTTAAATGAACACTTCCCTTTAAATTTTTACCCAGAAACTGGCCTCTGTGAGGTCCCGAACTTGCCTAAACACTAAAACTAAGCACCATTTAAATTTTGATTTTAATAACTTAGGAACAGAGCTCCGCCCATGCGCATACCCTTCCCCTCCCCACAACAGACACCCTGTGAGGTAGGTGGGGCTGAGAAAGCTCTTGACAGAAACTGCTCTTTTTCCAGAACAGCTCTTATCAGAACTACGGCTTGCCCAAGGTCACCCAGCCAGGTGCAAGTGGAGGAGTGAAGAATCAAACCCGGTTCTCCCAGATTAGAGTCCGTGCACTTAACCACTACACCAAACTGGCAACTCCATGTATTCATGTGTGTATAGTACAGCAGACAATTGAAATAAACCTGGGGCTACTCGGAAAACCTCATTCTGTGGCTTGCTGGTTGCCACCAAGGAAAATCCCTAGATGCTGCTTTGAGTGCCTCTGTGCTGCCTTCTCTTGGCAAAGCTTCACCACTAATATCTTGCTCACCATTGACTTACCACAATTTGTGGGCAAGTAATGGACAAGCAATGGACAAGAAAGAAACAAGTACCACATAGCACTACTCCCACTACTGCCATTCTTAGGTGCCTCCTCCACCCAGCATGGCTACTTCCTAATGAAAGGAAAGGAATTTTATGTACTCATCATCATCTATACATACTGCACGTGTTTTATCCTGCCAGTAAAATGTTCTTTACAAACACACTACCTCTGATTTCTTCAATCAACATGCAGAGATACAGAGATAGGAAAGCCAAAATAAAAGCCTGAGCAAATTAAAAGTGTCTTAATTTTGCACCTAAATGACAGAACAGTATGTTCCAAATAGTCTTTCAAAGGGAGGACATTGCATAAACATGGCACTGCTAAAGAAAAGCTCTGTGCCCAGTTATCACCCACTTCAATTCTGTAAGCAGGGGCAGAAAAAACAGGATTTCAGATGATGATCTTAACTGGCAGCTGGACAGTATAGGAAAACGCAGTCCTTCAAGTACCCTAGTCTCAAGCTCAGTTGGTAAAAGGGTCAATACTTAGATATTCAGTAATTAGAGATGGGTACAGTCCAGGAAAAAAACAGACCATGGATGTTCAAGGTCTGTGGGGTTTATGGAACCCTGGATCATGAACCTCCACATTTGACGTACTGGGTCATGGTCTATTTGGGTCTGTGATGCCATGTGGCTTACAAAGCCATTTAAAAGGAATGTGTGCACTTTAAATGGTTTTTGCAAACCTGTGCAGCCCATGAGTGAAGGCCAAGCAGCGAATTCATCTACTTCCAGTTCCCTTCTGGGTGTACCAGAAGTGGGTGAACTCACAGCTCAGCCTTCACTTGCACATTGTGATCCTTTACAAAAGCCATTTAAAGGGGCTGCATTCCTTTTAAATGGCTTTTGCAAGCCCCGCCAACATGGACCTTACAAACCTCCTGGGAGGGTTGTGGGAGGTCCTTGTCGGTGGGATGGCATGGACTGGGCTCACAGACCACAAACTGGGCCCCGGTCCGTGGAGAAATTAGGCCCGCGGTCCCATACATGCCCCTTCCTATTAGTAATACAACCAGTTTGGTGTAGTGGTTAAGTGTACGGGCTCTAATCTGGGAGAACCGGGTTTGATTCCCCACTCCACCACTTGCACCTGGCTGAATGACCTTGGGAAAGCCGTAGTTCTGATAAGAGCTGTTCTGGAAAAAGAGCAGTTTCTGTCAAGAGCTTTCTCAGCCCCATCTACTTCACAGGGTGTCTGTTGTGGGGAGGGGAAGGGAAAGGGAAAGGAGTTTGTAAACTGCTCTGAGACAACTTTGGGTAGTGAAGGGTGGGGTATAAATCCAATCTCTTCTTCTTCTTAATTAAAATATTTATACTCCACCTTTCCTTGTGGTTCATATTAAGCAATGATGCTTCTTGCTTGTTTATCTCATTTATACCCTGTCTTTCTCCCCAGTGGGAACCCAAAACAGTTTTCACTGTTTTCTTCACTCCCATTTTATTTCAACAACTCTGTGAGCTAGGTTAAGCTGGGCACATGAGACTGGCTCAAGGTCATCCAGCAAGCTTCCATGGCAGAGTGGGAATTTAAGCCTGGGTCTCCCATATCTTAGTCTGACACTATAGCCCCTACACCACAATAGGAGTTGCCTATTCACGAAAACATGGCTGATGTGGGTTTACCCTGACTAGGGTCCCTTTCAGACTTTTCTCAAGGGGAATGTAAAATCAAATTAACAGAAAATTTGATAATAGAAGAATATACTTGTCAATGTTTTTAATGCACAATTATTTAAAAAGTTTAAACCAGAAAAAACCTGGGTTTGAACAATTTAAAACAGAATTATATACGATGAGCATGTTATTGCTAAAACATACAAAACACTATCTAAATTCAAGACAGAGGAGGAACGAGTGAAAGAATGATAAAATAGGCAAAAAATGTTGGACATAATATACAAATGAAACAATGGGAATATATATGCAAGGAAAGGCTTAAATTTATGTTAAGTTCTAGTCTCAAAGATAATTTTTATCAAATGATGTACTGATGGTATATGTCACCAGAGAAATTAGATAAAATATATAAAATATCTCAAATAGATGGTGGAAATGTGAACAACATGAAGGAACATTTTGTCACTTACAGTGGACTTGCAATAAAGCTAAAAGACTGAGGTACAAATGAACCCAGAGGTGTTTCTTCTGGGTCTAATGGACTGACACTTGGAAAAAAGTATGAAACTTTGTTATTATACATGGCAACAGCAACAAGATTACTCTATGCACAAAAATGGAAAAGTTCAACACTACCTACAAAAGAAGAAGATTTGATGAAGATAATGAAACTTGTAGAGATGGCTAAATTTACTGCTTTGATCAGAGAAAAGACATTATCTACCTTTATTGTCAATTAGAAACCTCTTATAGACATTTTGCATGAAGTAGAAAAAAATGAACGGATGACTTGTGAATTTGATGATTAAGGGAATAAAAAATATATAAGCAATAAGGAAAAGGGAATTAATATTTGCCTGCAATAATAGAGTTAAGAGTTTGTAAAGAAATATTGATCCCTATACTTTCATGTTCCCCTTGTGTGATTCCTAGAAGTTTCATGTTCCCCTTAGGAATGTATCTGCCTCACCCCTGAAGCCACATGGCTTGACCATTTGTCCAGATTGCCCCCATAAATCCAGATGCCTCAGTGAAGCATGTAGAAGGGTTGGGATGCTATCACCTTACTGCGCAGAAGATGACTGCTACTCTCCCAACATTACCCCCACCCATTGACCAAATTTGGAAAGTTCCTGCCTCATTGGGTTGGCTGCTGGCCAGGGCCGGCCTAATGAGATGGGGGTTCAAATTGACCAACACAGAGAGAAGAGCTCACTTTTTGGCTTACTTCTGAATGTACCCTGAAATGCTGTATCTCCGTCGTGTGCTCTCTGGGAGAGAACAAAGGATTTCTGGAGCACATGGCAGGGACCCTGGACAAAGATGAGACTTAGTAGAATTCATTCCAATGGACTGTCTTGGACTATTGACCCTCCTGAATGTTGGTAAATATACTCTATTGTATAGTTAGGCAAACTGTTGCTTAGCCTTTCTTATTTTTCTAATCTCCTATGGTCTGATGGCAAACTCTGCTAAATAAACTATACTCTGTTATAACTGTGTCTGATTGATGTACCTTTGACTCCAAGGCTTTTCCTAGTGCCTGAGACTGCTTGTCCAATTGCTGCTACCTTGTTAAGAATATTCTTATATAAGTCCCAAAAGCCAGTCAAGGGTTTGAACCTTCTCTTGGGCTGGAAGGGGACCATAGTTGAAAGGTTCTGGTGGCATGTGTCTTAAATCCAGAGAGAGACTATCTCTCCTGGGTTCTTGTGTAAAATTCCTTGTCTCAGTCTATGATCCTTTCCCTTTCCATTCCTGGACTGGACTGGGGGAGAGACAGGATCATGACATTAAATTTGGAGTTTTACTTATATTTGCCATAGAGAAAATCGGAACTCTTTTCTTTATATTTATTTCTGTATTTTTTTCTTCCAGGATTTCCAGCCAAACTGGCCTGGAGGAGGACTGGGGCTCCAGATGTCCTGGAAACTGCAACCTAGGGCACACCAACCATGTGCCGTCATCCCAGAATGCACACTGCCTATGCTCTTCCCCAACCAGTTTGCTGTGAATTCTAAGCCTCAGATCTAGTACCAGAAGACAGGTTTGGGGACTGACCAACCAGTCCAAGTCAAGGCCTCCAAAAGTCACGCTACCAACGAGGCAGTTGCTCTTCATATGCTGATCAGGGGACCAGCTCCATCAGCATCTTCCCTTATTAATATCACACTCTCAGTACAAGAGTAAGATTCGAACCCAGTGGCACCTTAGAGACTAGCAAGATTTCCAGGGTATGCATTTTCCAGAATCAAAGCTCCCTTCGTTAGATACTCTGACTCTCACGGATACCCAAAAAAACCTTGCTGACTTCCAAAGGGCTACCAGGCTGCAACCCAGCTTTTCTAATGCACACTGAACGATCTACCCTCTGAAAAGAGTCGCTACCCTTTACCAGGAGGTTACCCCAGACACTGCTCTTCTGGAACCTGTCCCTGGGCTTGAGCCCCACTAGAGCTGTGTCCACACTCAAAAGGGAATCAGATTAAAGGTCCACCTTAGCTCAGGACTCTGTTCCAAGGCACGAAGTCAGAGGATCTCTGACTTTGGTACACAAAAGTACCTTGACTCATGGAGGCTCCACTGAGCAATTCGGGCAGCCAAGCAGTGCCGACTTTCGGCAGGAGAGTGGCAGATATGGGGGGTCCCCTGCAGCAGCAGCTCTGATCCTCAGTGCCGAAAGGCTTACCTGGCCCGCACAGGCAGCTGAAGGGGTAGGGGCTGCAGCACATGGTGGGCGCATCAGGCAGGAGGCCGAAGCTGTGGCACTCTCAGAGGGGCTTGAGCTCAGCCAGGTGCTAGAGATCCAGCCAGCAGAAGAGCTTGCCGAGCAGGAGGTGCGGTGGGGTGGCCAGGCGGGCCTCATTGGCACGGGAGACCAGGACACAGCCACTGGGCAGGCCCCCGCAGGACTCAACGGCTTCCAGGAAGCTGTTGAGGGAGCGCTCCTTGAGGTGCTTGAGCAGCACGTAGGTGCTGGCCTTGAGCTCTTGCTCCAGCAGTGAGAGGCAGCAGCAGCAGGGTCCGACCAGGGAGGAGGAGGAGGCGGCACCGTCGGGCTCCTGCTTGGCGAAGAGGCAGCAGCTCACCGTTGTCTTGCCACTGCCCGGACTCTGGCCGCTGGCACCCTCTGCCTCCTACTCCCGGTCCGGCAACACCCAGGCAGGCTCGCCCTCCTCACCACCGCCACACGCCATGTCCCACTCCTCCTCGACGCCAATGCCACCATCCCAGTCGCCGTGATCGTCGTCGGCCAGCACCCAGCTTCTCTAGAGGCACCACACCAGCCCGGCCCATTTAGACCGGAACATACAAGGCTTGCAACCAGCGGCACTGGGGCTCAGACCCGCTGCCACCTCCCCAACCAACAGGAGGCGCGCTGCAGCATCGGGCCACACCCCCCCCCCTTGGGAGCTGCTGAAAGAGGATTCAAGGCAAGGGCCTCCACGGCTATCGACTCCAACCTCCAGCCTGCTGGAGTCGCAAGCAGCCCAGGTGACCAAGCCGAACCCTTTCTCAGGTTAGAGAAATGGCAGTGGGGGGAACAACACGCACAGGGGGGGAACAACACACACACGGGGGGGGAACAACACGCATGGGGGGGGACAACAGTCTGAATTTTCAAGGAGCCAGGTTTTTGAAGACGAAGGGAAGCCCAAACCACCTTTCCCGCTAGAAGCCGCCAAACCCCCTTTGTAGTTCCTTGCCAGTCGGCACTGATTGCAGTGCGCTGGGCAGCTGCGTGGGATGTTGAGCGAGGCAGTCCTTACTAGAGAAGGGGAGGAGGGAATAAAGGCGAGGGACGTGCGCGCACCCCCATCTGACCCCACTCGCTTGTGTGTTGCAGCTCCAGGCGCTGGGGGAACTGTGCTTCGGCGACTCAAGCGAGAACAGCAAACTGCAGAGCAGAAGGAGGGCCCAGGCAATGTGGAGTCCTTATGGGCGGCAACGGGACATACACGACAGCTCATACCCAATGCTCTGCTTGGATTGCCACTTCTGGGTGAGCGGAGCAGGGCTTTTGGTGAGGGAGGGGCGGAGAGGGGAGGGGCGGGCTCAGAAGCCAGCCAGAATGTTGTTCCGGTGCATTCTGCCCCAAAAATAGCTCTGCATATACATACATACGTATGTATGTATATAAAAGAGAGACATTTATTCTCTCTATTATGAAATTCTCAATAAAGCTCTTTTTTAAAAAAAATCCCAAGTTTCAAAAAGATTGGACTGGGGGTCCAATTCTGTGACCCCACAAAAGAAGGTGCCCCCATCCTCCATTGTTTCCAAAGGAGGGGGAAAGGCATTTAAAAGGAGCACAGTCCCTTTAAATGCCTTCTGCAAGCCATGCCACGAGAGAACTCCAAAGTGACAAGTTGACCTCCCTTGAGCTGTGGTGGCTCAAGTGGTTAAGACGCTGAACTGCAGGCTGTGGAAGTTCAGTAGTTCAGTAGTTCAGCGGTTCGAAACCCGGGTGCCGCATGATGGAGTGAGCTCCCATCTCTGGTTCCAGCTCCTGCCAACCTAGCAATTCGAAAGCAAGAAATTGCAAATAGATAAATAGGTACCACTTCGGTGGGAAGGTAACAGCGTTCCGTGCGCCTTGGTGTTTAGTCATGCCGGCCACATGACCACGGAAACGTCTTCAGACAGCACTGGCTCTTCGGCTTTGAAACGGAGATGAGCACCGCAACCCTAGAGTCGGATTCGACTGGCTTTCGAGCAAGGGAACCTTTACCTTTTTAAACACCTTCCAGGTGAACTTGCTGCTTTGGAGTTCAAAGAGACTGTGTTCCCTTTAAATGTCTTTTCCCGCTCCACTGGAAACAATGGAGGATGGGAGCACCTTCTTCTGGGGCTCATAGAACTGGACCCCCAGTCACATCTTTTTGAAAATTGGGGACGGGGTTTGATGACAGGCACCAGCAGCTATGCTGCAAATTTGGTGCCTCAACCTCAAAAAAACAGCCCCCCCCGAGCCCCAGATACCCCTGTCTCGATTCTCCACTATAGCCTATGGGGACCATTGACTTTAATGCTCCCCCTAAGTTATAATGGAGCCAGAAAAAATTGGCAATCCCAAATAATTCCTGAATCTCAATACCATGCCAGTACTGGGATTTGGGAATATAGGGAAATACCAATATTTTTCAGGTTCAATATATACCTTTTCCCACACGTGCCTAGGACTCACCACAAAACAGTGCCTCTCAGATCCTACCTAGCAGTCCTAAGGGATTCCATTATCAATAGAGCTGAAAGATCCAAAAAGACTCATCAGAGATGTATTTTCCCTGTTTCTCTCCCAGTGCACATAACCCACCAGGGTGACCAGGACAGTTTGAAAATCAAATTAAAAAAAAATTCAAATGGATTTTATCCTTCACAGCTTGTGTGTTGCTTCAGATTTTGACCCAAATGTATCTCAATGCAGTCACAATACTATTTGAAGCAGAATGGAAATAAATATTGCGTGCTATCAAAAAAAATTTACTAGCATTCAATATTTAAAGCAATACAGAAAATTACCTTGAATTCTGATAGCCATTCTTCTACAATCCCTGTATCCACAGCCAACATCTTCCAACATTTGTTCTGAAGTTTTCAACCTTTAAATTTATAGAAAAAAGCAAGTGCTTATTTTGAAATACATTTGTTCTTTCCGAAAAAACTGAATGCACTAGAAGGTAGATATCTAAATGAATAGGAAGACCTCTGTTTCTATTGCTATGTATAACAATAAATGCAATTCTCTTCTTGTTTAAAATGGTGCATTAAAACAGCACTACACATTTCAACTCCAGTAGTTAACGTTTTATTTATACCTTGGTGCATCATATCAAAGAACGTATAAGAACACATGAACGTATAAGAATGATGAATGATAGAAAATACAAAAGCCGCATAAAGACACAACCGGAGAACCAGTTTGGCGCAATCGTTAAGTGTGCGGACTCTAATCTGGGAGAATTGGGTTTGATTCTCCACTCCTCCACTTGCAGCTGCTGGATGACCTTGGGCAAGCCATAGTTCTGTCAGAACTGTTCTCTCAAGGACAATTCTGGAAAGAGCTCGCTCAACCCCACCTACCTCACAGGGTGTCTGTTGTGGGGAGGGGAAGGGAAAGGAGTTTGTAAGCTGCTCTGAGACTCTGAGTGAAGGGCGGGGTATAAATCCAATCTCATCTCTTCTTCTTACTACTAAATATTAAGAAGGGCAACTAAGTACCTGATGCCCAACATAATCATATTTTCTTTGAACCAGACACCTATTTCTTTTAGAATATTTGTATCCCACAACCTTACGGTATATCTTTTATCAAATTTAAATTATATTTTGTTATCTGTTTATTCTTTTATATATATGCGTGTATATGATTTATGCTGGACTTTGACCGTATTAATAAATCTGAATCTGAAAGAAATCTGAAAATATCCCATGGCCCAAGGTCCTGAGTCATTTTATAATGTAGTAAAAGCTCTATCTGTTAATGGACAGATGAACTAGGCCCCAGATGTTTTAGACAGGGCCTTGGGGGCTGTGGCTGGTTGATTACAGCAGAGCTGGTTGAAGTCGAATCCAATGAAGACAGAGGTCCTGTACCTGAGCCACGGGGGACTGGATGTGGAAATATGGCTCCAAGCTCTGGGCAGGGCATTATTGATTCCAGTGCCAAGAATGAGGAGCCTTGGAGTAATACAGGATACCTCATTATCTATGGAGGCCCAGGTCACCGCAGTTGCCAAATCAGCTTTTTCCCACCTGTAGCGGGTGCAGCAACTGGTTCCATATCTTTCTGCCTGTGACTTGGCTACAGTGATCCACCTTTAAGGCCTTGAGCAGGCAGGAACCAACATACCTACAGGACTGCCTCTCCCCATATGTGCCCCGTCAAGCCTTGCGCTCATCAGACCAGCATTGACTGGTAATCCCCAGCCCCAAAGACATCCATCTAGCCTCAACCGGGGCCAGGGCTTTTTCGACCTTGGCCCCAACGTGGTGGAATGAGCTCCCGCTAGCAATCAGGGCCCTGCAAGACTTTTTTCAGTTCCACAGGACCTGTAAGACAGAGCTATTCTTCCAGGTTTTTAGGTGAGGCAGCAGACATCAAATGTCATCTGGCCCCTCCTGTTACCATCTGTTATCTATTACAAGTTCTTCAATTTTCAAGGACTCTCAACAACAACCCCGCCTTGGTTTACCTGAGGTTAGGGTATCTACCATCTGGAACCCCTTATGCGATTTAACCCTCTCTATTTTTAACTCAATTATACCGGGACATCATGGAAATAGTTCAAAGTATCTGATTTTATTGTTCTATAACCAATGTTGTAACTTGCCCTGAGTCCATTCGTTGGAAGGGAATGATAGAAATATACTAAAATCAATAAACAAATAAAAAGCAAGTATATTTAATTACGAACACAGCCCAAGAAGCTTATATTTCGCTCTCCCCATGAATGGGCTCAGAGTGGATGACAACAAAAATTAAAACATTTCACAGTAAAAATTAAAACATTTCATAAAAATTATCCATAATAAATCATTAAAACAGATTTAAAATGATCAATGAATATAGATCAAAAAGTCCACAAAATGTATGGACACTGCAAGGATTTTTCTACAGAAAAATCTCAAAAGTAAAAATGGGGAGGGGGTAAAATTCCAAGAACAGAGAATGCCAATTGAGATTTTGCAAAATCACACAATATCAGAGTTAGCACTAGAGTTTGCCTAGCAATCAAGGTATTGAAGGCTGAGTAACCTCAGTAGTACAGAATGCTATGTGAAACCAGCAGGGGAGGGCTGAGAGAGAAAGACAAAGTGGTGAGGAGGAAAAAATAAAGAAAAGCTTAGGAAGACAGAAAGGAAAATGGAGACAGGGAAATAAGTTCAGAAAAGCCTAAGAAGAGGAGGAAAGTATATGTGGAAAGTTGTGAGGGAAGAATACTGAATAAGTTTGGGAAGACAGAGAAGGTGGCCAGGAAAGTTGGGGGGTGGGGGTGGATTTCCTTCCCCTCTGTGTTTCTCAGGTCCCAAGCTATATAAATACAAATTCACAATAACAAAAAGGCCAGCGGGGAGGGGGGATAACAAAGGCAATAAAAGCCACGGGAGCAGTAAAAAGCAAGATCTGCAAAAATAGGAATCCAGTTCATAAACACATACAGACACAGATATCACAATCTGGCACCTGCCTAGAACTCAATTAGTAAGAACCAGATGACTGAATGAAACAAGGGTAAGCAACCACCCATTTCACTTCTGAAGGGGGGGAAGGTGTCTGTGAAAACAAAGTGATAGTATAGAGGGGATAAAGAAAGGAAAAACTGGATTGTATAACTTAATTGTGCAGATCACAAATGATTATAAATAACAGAATATATAAAACAAAATATTTCTCCCTAACATCCCCTTCATTATACTTCTTAAGACACTGTCTATAAGGTCCAATGTGTTGGGGTTATTTATATTCAACATTTTGGGTTTCAAATTTCATAAAAAATCTGTTTCGCAACTACACTACTAGTTTCATTATTACTACATATTCAATATCACGTATTTTGCCACTTCTACATACTCCTTATAACTCAAAGTACAAAAGGAAAGCCTGTTAAAGATCTCATAATAAGAAAATAAGAGATTTCTGCTCAAAATCTACTTCCTTATACTAAATTATTTAAGATGTTACATTTAAAACTTATTGTCATTCTGCTTCTACACAGCAATGCATTTGTGTACAATTTTTTGAACTGTTTCTCATTCTAAATCTACATAATACGCACTTTGTGTTGATAATTTTCTTTACTCTTGAAACTGGTAATATAGTAACCACAGTTCCCTCTAAGCTGCGCTAGGGAGCTCTGGTGCACAACATTTCAGAGCGCTGCTCAAAGCATTTTAGCTTCAACTCACAACATTTTTTCCCTTCTTTAGGAAACAATGAAGGATAGGGGCATCTCCTTCTGGGGCCCACAGAACCGGACCTCCGGTCCAATTTTTTTGAACCTTGGGGGTTTTTTTTGAGGAGAGACACCAGCACCTATGCTGAAAACTTGGTGCCTCTAACTCAAAAAACATTCCCCCCGATCACCAAATACCCCCAAGATCAATTCTCCATTATAGCCTAAGGGGCTCATTGAATATAATGGTCACCATAGGATATAACTGAGCGAGAATCACCGATTTTTTTTGCACACCCCTATTATGATTTTCTGTATGATTTGGGTCACGGGGAAAAGTCAGAAAAAATATTTGAATAAATAAGCAGTTTGGGCAGGTTGATAACATTTAAGCAACTTCCTGTTTGTTAGGTTAGGTAGGGTTCTGACAGAGATTGTTCCACCTCTGTTATACTTGACCTGTAATGCTGGTTGTCATATTTCACTTAAAAAAAATAATAAAAGTAGACTGCAAGAGTTTTTTCTCCCCTGAGTGCTGGTATGTTTTCTAAGGGTCAGCATGAGGTGACAGTCCAAGATCAGGTCTACCAACTTGACTGGGGCAGGTAGACCTGTTCTCCAGAGGCCTGGTCTACCCCTGTAGAGGACAACATTTTGTGTAATGAAATTTGACTTGATTCTGTTTTCTCTTATAATGTTTAATTTATTCTTAAAAATATAGTTTAAATGTAGTTTAAGAATTCATTCTGAAATTTTTACAAGGTTACGGAAATAATCTTCCAAAAATAATTCATGCAATAGTCAAATGTAGATTTGCTCACAACTTTAATGATACTAGCTTTTTTTCACTCACAAGGCAGAATTTTTGCTCACAACACTGTGGAGCTTAGAGAGAACATTGATAGTAATCATTGAATATTCAGTCCTTCATCCCTATTATGCCAGGACCTGACTTTCCCCTGAGCATTTACCATATGTGGTAAATTTGAGCAAATTGATCGAGAGGGCGATGGCGACTCAGTTACAGAGCTTTCTAGATGACGCTTCCGTCCTTGATCCATTCCAGTCTGGCTTTCGCCCGGGGTATGGGACGGAGACTGTGTTGGTTGCCCTGACTGACGACCTCCATAGACATCTGGATCAAGGCGGTGTGGCGGCGCTGCTGTTGTTAGATCTGTTGGCCGCATTTGATACAGTCGACCACCAGCTGCTGATCCACCACCTTCCCGACGTGGGGATCCAGGGGCTCGCCCTTCAATGGCTTGCCTCTTTTCTCCAAGGTTGGAGGGTTGTGCTGGAGGAGCAGCAGTCCGGAGGCACCTGCTTGAATGTGGAGTGCCTCAGGGGGCAGTACTCTCAACTATTCTATTTTATACATGCGCTCCCTCACCCAGATTGTCCAGAGGTATGGGCTTGGGTGTCATCAATATGCAGATGACACCCAGCTCTATCTGATGCTGGGCGGCCAATCGGACTCCGACCCAGAAGATCTTCAACGGGCTCTACAGGCCGTGGCTGGGTGGCTCCGGCTGAGCCGGCTGAAGTTGAACCCGGCGAAGACGGAGGTCCTGTGTCTGGGTCGGGGTGGTATGGGATTGGGGCTACCACTTCCGGCCTTCGATGGGGCTCCTCTTGTGCCAGCTTCGGAGATTAGGAGTTTGGGGCTGCTCCTGGACCCCACCTTAACGATGGAGGCCCAGGTAGCG